AAGGAGCATAAGAAGAAACCAAAAAAACAGAAACTTACACTTTTACTTGTCCGCCTGGTGTGCCTCTCTTGTTGATATCCAGTCCGAAAAGACTCCTCTTCAACATATAGGTCATGGCGACGGGTATGTGTCGGAGGGTGAGGACAAGGCCGCCCACACTAAGCAAAAGACTGATCAAGATCGAATGGCGAGCACAGGCACTCGTAGGAAAGACAGCGACAGTCAAAACAGCCGGAAATATGGACACCATTGTGAAAAACCCCGCACGCAAACTCCTACTCCCCCCCACACCATCTTCTCCTCCTGCCTTAACTCCTACTTCCGTCTCGCTGTCCCGTGTCTTGTCCCCTACTTCTCTTTTCCGACTTCTCAAACCCTTCTCTCTCTCTCTCTCTCTCTCTCTCTCTCTCTCTCTCTCTCTCTCTCTCTGTGTGTGTGTGTGTGTGTGTGTGTGTGTGTGTGTGGGAAGGGGGGGTGAGGGGGTGTTTGGGTGCGGGTGTGTTCTATCCGCTAAGCAGGACTCCACAAAGAGAGACTGTTTCTTTTGAGTTTCACCGACTCCTCACGATGTGTACTGTCATGTTAGACTGCTCAAGATGTGTGTGTGTGTGTGTGTGTGTGCGTGTGTGCGTGTGTGCGTGTGTGTGTGTGTGTGTGTGAGCCTCTGCGCCGCCCCCTCCATACATCAATGCGACAAACTCAGTGCGCGCCGATGCCACATGGTCGTAGATCTAGGTCTGGACCCAACAGGCTCGCGGACGCTCGCGGAAAGGCGGACGGATTGCCGCGGAGTGGTTTTTCAGACCCCACAGGCCGTAGGGAGCGGCCTGGAAAGCATAGGATGGGCGTTTCCACATCGTTTTTGTGTCAGAAAAGCGAACGTGGCAGCTCAATTTCCGAAATTTTGTGCCAACTTTACATGGTAGGTCCCTTCGAGGCCTTCCGTCGCGAACGGCCTCGGAAGGCCGGTTTGTCCGACAGGCGTCCGGTGGACCGCATGGCCTGTCCCGGGAACACAGAGGCGGCCATCGTGGTCTGTCGCACGAGAGTCGTCAGGGACCGTGCGGCAACGCGCGGTGGTCCCAATGGGGAGTCGGCCTCCCCGCTGATTTTTGAATTTCGGCCGGCGTTCGAATGGAGGGCATCCCCGCCGATTTTTGAATTTCAGCCGGCTGCTGCACTGTGTCGGTTCCCGTGGAGGACAACGGCTTGCCCTCTTTCCCAGCCATCCCCATAGCTCTCAGCGACCATTGGGGGTTGAGTGCCTTAAGACAGGGTGTTCCCAGCAGGGTCTGTCGTTAGCAGTCGGGCATCCTCCTAGCGATGCTACACGCATGTACGAAGTGGGTGACGCGTTTGCCTGGTGGCCGTCTTGGCCAGCAGACAGGTGCAAGGTGGCTGTTTGCGCACTCTCCCTTGCATAGCAGTGGTGGGAGAGCCGTCTCCTATTGCGGTGGATGGAAACGTGGAACCGTGTTCGATGTTGAGAGTGTGAGAGGGGGTGTCGCTGGAAGTCTGTCGTCCAGCCTCATGCGCTTGCGGGGGCGGTTGCGGACCCCCCCCGTCAGCTTGGCTGTCGCCTGTGTGAGGGATGTGGAGCATGGCAATGGGACAGCCATTGCTCCCAACAGTTCAACGACCAGCATTGTGAGGCCATTCATGCCCGTAAGGTAGGCAGGGAATGTCGGAATTGTTCCACGACCACGTCCTTGTCCGAGGTCGGGAGTGTTGCTCTGTTGCTGTCGTGGTGCAGTTGAAGGGCAGGACTCAGCTTCCAAGGCTTCCGGCGGACAGAGCACATCAGCCATCGTTGTCATGGGAGTGGATTGGACGAGACGGTGTTGTGATCCCTGTTTTGTGTGGGTAGCGGTGTTGTGTGTCCTTGTCACGCTGGGGTTGCTTGTCTTTGTGTTGTTAGCCATCATCTTCTTGCTTGTGTTGTTAACGATTTCTGTGTTGTTAACGATTTATGTGTTGTTCGTGATCTTGTCATGGAAGGGGGGCAGTGGACACACGACCTCGGCAGGTCATACGACGACGGGAGAGCTCCACCACACGGGGCAAGGGATGACGGTGGCAGCTTCTCGTCACAGTTGATCCAAGGTCTGACACAAATCAGCCAGGATACAGGGATGACAGCACGCGCACCTCCATCACCTTTTGTTGTTGGTCGTTTGCTGGAATGGTCGAAGACCCCCATCCTCCCGGAAAGGATGGGGTCACCATTCCAGTCCTCATACCCGCCACCTGCATCGTCCACCCCTCATGGTGGACATCAGCATTTCAGCAGCCCGGCGATGCCTACGGTCGTTCCGCAGCCGTTGTCCACGCATCCACCACGTGTCTCGATAGTTTCCCTACCAGCAGCACTATCAATGGATGGAGCAAGGGAATCACATGCGGAGTGGTCATGAACGCACTCGCATTTTGCCATGCCATCAACCGGTGACAATAGCAATGGCACGGACAGTCGGTGGGTAGTGTACGGGCAGATGGCGAGTGGCCATCATCCGTCCAGTGAGGGAGTATCGAGCATGAAGCCTCACGGCAATGACGGGGGAGCATGGCTGCAGGATTCCAGTCGTCGACGACCGAGTATCGAATTTCCCACCTATCGAGACATGCGAGACATTACTGTGTCACCTCCCCTTAGATCGTCGAATCTTTCTCCGCGATGTGCGGTCGACATGGATGGTGGTAATGACGACATGGACGGTCAGCAGCTGGCAAACGACAGGCCGAGCGTGGAAGAGGGGACGCTGTCGCGCCCCCACCGCTTCCAGGGCTTGGTTCAACGTCCCTCCTCGAGCCGAGTGCGGTGGGTTGGTGGACTGGCAAGCTGTTACGCAGGATTTTGGAAAGTTTTAGGGAAATTAGAAATGCATTCACAAACAGTCTTTGTCACACAGTCGAGTTGTCAGGGTTATCCCTCCTGCTCGCGGCGACACGGCTTAGAGTGAGGCGTTCGGTTTTATCGCCTGCACCTGACCCCGTATAAAGGTTAGACTCAAGGTCACCGGAGTCCCTGTTATCCAGGAGTCCTTCAAGTAGCCTTGAGTGTAACCTGTTATAATAAGGAGTGATAAATAACTTGTTACCTCATGCATAAACATTTCATGCATTATAGGACATGCATCATAAATCAAATAACACTGAGAGGACGAAAAGACCAGAAACCAGACTCTACAAGAGCATGACCAGAGACTCGAGACTGAAGAGTAGTACACAGAGAATGCACGAAGCAACCATAGAAGGGACTGCAGTCACTGATAAAACATAATAATGTCATAATACATCTCAGTGACTAAAAGATACGAGCCTCAATCAATAACGACAAGTGGTACCCCCTCATGAGTGGGCTCGACTGTCTGGGACTCCGTATCTGGTACACACTGGTCCTCCTCATCATTGAGAACCTTAGTGGCTATTGACTCTGGGACCACATAGCTGATGTCAAAAGATGCCGCAGGATCGATCTTGCTGATATATGCCTTACATCTCGCCATCTTCTCATCCGCGACACTCCAGAGGTACAGCTCCTCGGCGAGGGAAATGTTGCCAGTGGCACCGATCAAGATCTCAATCCGTCCCTTGCCGTAGGTGTAATCATAAGAAACCTCCAGAAAATGGTCTCCATAGAGTGGCTTTCGAAAAGTCTGTATGACGAAGTCTGCTCCCACCAAATGACTGTAGTCATCCCCAAGATATGGGACTGGTCCCTTCTCCCTTGAAGGGTCGGCTACCTCCTCTGACCTGGGTCCTCCTGACATGTAATGCCTGAATCAATCACCCTCAAGCAGGTATCGTGCCAAGAGGTAAGCAACCCATCGTAGGGCGCCTTCCCCCTGCGTCTCACTCCGGTGACCAATGTCATAAGATGCACTGGATCTGCTCCAACTCAAGTGTACTCAATCCCTGTGGGTATCCCAGTCAAAACAGTCCCCCAAATCAACATCACTCACGCAGCAAGGCTCTTGGTCAGACTCGTCTGTCTCTGACCTCTGTAAGCAGGTGGTGATGGGTATCCCAGATCTGGCCACCTCGCTTCTTATCCTCCTATCCTGACGCCTCTTTTCCTTGCTGCCACCTCTGCTCAACGGTTTTTTATTACAACCATCAAAGTCAAAGAGAGCACCACCTGGTGCAAAGGGGACCTGGGGAAACACCACATGTAACCAATGCTCCCTCCAGTAACTCTCCCTACGGAAGATATAGTCAGCAATCCGATCATAGGTGGCTCCCTTTATTCCCTGCCCAGCATCTCTCACGTGATAAGTGATCATCAACGTGTATCTCGATGTGGGAGACTCATTGGCCCTAATGACGAAGCTCTGATGTCCAATGTGTCGATAGCAGAACTTCTCAACAAGCTTACCCCATGTAGGGTTTTTTTCATGTTGAGGAGCCAGCTTGACCAATCTGCAATGTAAGGTAGTATGCTCCTGACAAGTGGTTACACCAAACAATGGTGTCCTGGTGATAAAGGGGGATATCAGCAACTCCGAAAAATAGCCCAACTCGATGGGATCAACAATCAACTCAACATAGGGGTTCGTCTGAATGGACCCGGTTGAACAACAACAACTCGATATAAGGGCCCGCCTGAATGGGCCCGACTGAACAGCAACAACTCGATATAGGGGCCCGCCTGAATCGGCCCGGCTGAACAGCAACAACTCGATATAGGGGGCCCGCCTGAATAGCAACAACTCGATACAGGGGCCCGCCTGAATGGGCCCGGCTGAACAGCAACAACTCGATAAAGGGGTCCGCCTGAATGGGTCCGGCTGAACAGCAACAACTCGATATAGGGGCCCGCCTGAATGGGCCCGGCTGAACAGCAACTCGGCAGCTCAGTAGCTCAACATAGCAACGTCATATGAGTATCTATGTAGCGAGTGGACTAGAATATGAGGACTGAGACTGCCAGTATCGTCACTGTGAAAGACTGATAATCAAGGTGTTATCTATGCAAAGGTCAGTTGCAAAATACTCTGTGTACAAACTGGACTGCGCTTATATCATATGTGCAGGAAAATTACCGTCCGCACAGGGACTGATATGAATATTGTCCATGCAGAGACTAATCAGCAAGAAATCAAATCATCGGGAGTTGGGGCTAGTCATACCATCAGAGACATTCAGTCACGTCCTCAAGATTAATCACACTAGCAAGGCGCGCGTCCCCGACCATCATACCGGTGGGGCGTGCGTTCTAGAATCATCAGAGC